GGAGATTCCTCAAAAAAGTAAAACTGGAAGTTCCATTTGTTCTAGCTATTCCCCTTCTATGTATTGCCCCAAAAGTGTTGAATTCATCGTATTACAATGGTACATAATGATACATGCACACTCATGTTTATAGCAGAACATCTCTCTCTGTATTTCTGTCTCTCTCTGTCTCTCTCTGTCTCTCTCTCTCTGTCTCTCTCGCTCTCTCTCCCTTTTTTGAGACAAGGTCTTAACATGTAGTTTAGGCTGACCTGAAACACTGTGTAGCTCAGGCTGGCCTCTAACTTCTGGAGATCCTCCTGCCTCAGCCTCGCAAGTGCTCCCAGGGGTGGTGGGTGGCACACTCCACTACACCCAACTACAGCACAATTCTCAATAGCTAAAGTATTGAAGCAGTCTGTCTGCCCATCAGCAGCTGGATGGATAAAGAAAATGTGATATATATACACAATGGGGGCTTGCAATATTTCTGTGCTTTCCTAAGTATTTAAAGGGTTGTACAGTGGAGGATATAGGTATTATGGTAAGAAATCAGGTAATAAGCACATAGTTTTATTCATATTAACTTGTATTCCTTTCCAAAGTTTATAGTGAGTAGAAGCAGATACTTGCACCACACCTACTCATCATTAATTTGAATCCTGTTTTCCACTGATTCTGAAGCTCTAGACAGTGTTCTATTTTTAGAAAGATTCACCAGGCATGTTGGTGTGAAGGAAAAAATAATCTCTTACTCAAGTAATTTTTCTCTGATTCTCCTAGAGATACATTCTTTTAACCCAGTTAATTAAGCAGTTTAAAGTTTCAAGAAGTCTATGACTGGGCTTCTTGAGCTAACCTGGCCCTATATGTAACTTGGTAATCCAGAGGCAGTGCTGAGGTCAGTGAAGGAAATGGGTCTGTGCTCATGCTTCACGTGATTCCTCCCCAGTATTCGTGCACATTGTGTCAGTGTCTCTGAGAGTTCTGCAACCCCACCCCTGAAAGTGACTGCAGACAATTGCAAGCTGAAAGCACCCAACATGGCAGAGCTGGGTCACAGCTTGTTGGAAAGACCATCATTTGTCCTTCCATATTTTCCTGTGCAGTGAATCCTCAGGGTGTTTTATTTCTCTTCCCTCATAGCTCCAGCTTCCTGAACTGCATTAAGAATTTAGTGAAACAATATAAATTCACTCACAGCTCTCATCTGAGTTAGTCATATAGAGACAGCCATTTTATTTGGATAAAAATAGACACCAGTTAGATACCTGCAAAAATGAGATTATAATGCCCTCTATTCAGCCAACCTGGTGTTAAGAGCTACTAAAGCATTTATTATGAACAGGGATTAATTTGTTGTCATAGGGTCCATACACATATATGTGAGTCTTCCTATCAGTCCATTAGTGATCACCATTATGCATAGTGGAGCTGGCTAAAAGATAATGAAAACACATTGTTAACATAATTATTTATTATAGAAAAACACAAAGACAATTTAAATATTTAACTTGATTGAAATGACTATGAAACACCACAATATTGCAAATATCCATGTAATTATATTTTTAAAATTTAATTTACAAGTATTTATACAAAAAAAAGTCTTGGGCTCTGGCTCACATGTATTACGTTAGAATTTTCTGAGGAGAAAGTATAAGTATAAAGAGGTAATCCTTGCATATTTAAGACATAGGCTGAACAATTTTAAAGCATTTTGTACTAGCAAGTAAGCTTAATGTGAAGACAAGGACTGCTATTGTTTTGCTTGCTATAATAATGCTCTATACCTTAGGCAATCAGTGAATTTACACATTAATTATTATTTTCTATGCAAAAGTATGCTTTTCTAATCATGGAGGAAAGTGTTATTAAAACTCCAAAAGATACTCTTGATGTAAAATTTAATGAAAATAGAGAATAAAAATTACATGATTTCCAAGTCTTCAATATTTGAAAAGGCATTTTTAAATGGGGGGAAGAAAACTATGCTGTGAATCATTTATATATAAAATGATAAACGGAAATTCCCCCAAATTTAAAATCTTTGCTTATCAAAAGACACGAGTAAGAGAATGAAATGACAACTCCATGCTGAGATAAAATACTTACAAATTGAATATTCAACAAAAGACGTATTGAGAATTTAAAAAGTGTTTTCAACTCCAACTTTAAGGAACTAAATACAGTTTCAAAATAGGCAAAACTTTGAACCATGTTTCAGTACAAAACTATCTCAATGGCAAGTAAGCATAAGAAGAGTTGATTAGCATCATTCAACATTAAGGAAATAAAAATTTAAATTTCTCTGAAATGCCACTAAGCACATGATAGCTAAAAAGAAGAAGAAGATGTTATCAATGTCAAATGCTGATGAGGAATCACTGGAACTCTCATATAGTCCTAGCGGGGAAACCCAATGATACAGTCTCTAGAAATACTGTGACAGTTAAATTTAGTAAAATTAAACACACACTTACTACATAACCTAACAGTCTTAGTTCTAGAAATTAAATTTATATTCACACAAAATATGTAGGTATACATAGCAACTTTATAATCTTCACCTAGAAACAATGTAAATGTACCTAAACCAGTGAATGGCAAACAGACAGTGCAGTAAAACCCTGAAATGCATATATATGCTATGGAGATGAACCCCAATTCCCAGGCAGGCTAAGTAAAAGAAGTACCTTAATTGTTCCCATAGCTATATTCATTGTATTCATCCAATGCCAGAATATGCATAAAAATAATATATTGGATGTAAACTAAAAAAAAACATTAAAGAAATGGAAGGAATTTAAAAGTCAAAGATAGTAAATATATTTATATGGTAATGAATTTATTTTATTCTCTTTCTAAATTTTAATGCAAAGTGGTTGAAATAATAAGTAATCATTATTTGTGTTCATGTATATCATAACACTATGTTTGATTAGCAAGATCAGGAACTATTTATTCTTCTTCATAAATGAACACTGTTTGCTTTTGCAGAGTTGAGTTATTTTCAAATGGGTGTGCAAGGCTAAAACCGAATCACTGAAAAAGCAAGTCAGTCAACCAGACACTTTCTGTACACCACGTCCATCCGTTTAATCGCTCCGTTTAATAAGAATTTACTAGGACTAGGGCTAAGGTCAGGTTTAGGGCAAGGGAAAAGTGTTACCTTCCGGTATATGCCTCTTTTCTGACTCAAGCACTTTGCCCCCCTGGCCTCCCTTCACAAACACACACACCCACACTCATATGCATACAAACACGCAAACATCACTGCACATCCTGAGACACTTCCAGCATGACAAATTCTTGCACATTTTTAAAAATGTAACTTTAGAGTATCTTTCCTGGAATCCCTCTTTGATTCATTTGCCCAACCTTCCTCCAAGATTTTACCCAAAGGCCTGGTCTGTTTGTCTGCATGGCAGAATTCACATTGGATGTACCATATTACATTAAAAACTTTTCATGTCACTTTTGTCATTGACTAGATTATAAACTCTGCTGCAACTTGCCTTATCCAGTTTTTACACCCCAGAGAGTAATTAGACAAAGCCCGGCATAGGATAACTATTTAGTACATATGTCCCAGCCTGAAGTGAATACAGTTTTTTATTTGGGAGGTATTCCACTCTAATTTTAGTTGTATAGCCAATCATTGTATAAGAAAACCTTTCTAAAGGAAAAAATTCCCATTTTATTGGATAGTGGTGTGGTTGATATATGTGTGCTGAAGTTAGAGACATTCTTAGGGCCACCCACCTTGCTTGTTTCATTGGCTGAGTACTAAGGATGAGCAACATCAGGATAGCTCGAGGGGATTCCATTGTAACAAGCCTTCGTAACAAAGCTTTGTGACAGTCCATTGTTATAAATATTGGAGAAGAACAGTTTAAGGATAAAGTAATGATTCTCACAACCTGGATGCTTCCTAAGACTTTGTTAGTTACCTTATTTTACTAGTTCTTGAGGGAAAACTCCCAAGAAACCAGAGGAAGCAGATATATTTTTGTATCGTACCAGGAATCGAACTCAGGACCTTGTGCTTACCAGGCAGGCACTGTGCCCCTGAACTACATCCCCAAGCAGGTCTAAATATCATAAAAATGATACATTAAATACTACAGGGATTGTATAGAAACTATCTATATATCTATAATGTAACTTTATAGATAATATACTAAATCTTCTACATGCTATTGTTTATATGCATGATTTTAATTATTAGCTTGAAATCTTCTACATATTTTACCCAATTTGTTGCAGAATTACGATGAAAATCCATAGTCACTGAAAATTACATAATTTAGTAAGTTTTTAAAGTTTAAAAGTAAACCAGTGAGCGAAAAATAAGAATACATAATATAAATTATATGTATTTTTCTAAAACAGAGAATATAGTATAGTGTTTTATTTTTTACTTCCAGTGTTTGTATCCACTACCAAAGATATGATAGCTTTATTGAATTAGTTTATTAATAACATTTCCATAAGTATTGGAGATGAACAGTTTAAGGATAAGGTTATTCCCAAGATTCAAATTCTACAACAAAAACATTCTTTTTGTAAAAGTAATTCAATCCTATTCAGAAAGGCAAAAAGAAACCTAATATTTTATCAGTGTTTTCCCTCATAGTAGACAATTAGAACTTCAAGTTGCTAAAATTATCAGTTTCTGAAATATCTAAAGGACAAAATTTTACATTGAAATGGAAATATACTATCCTGACACCAGCCATCAACCAGGATGACTAAGGAGCTGATAAGCTGTGTGTACTCTCAAAGACAGGTAGCTAAGAGGCTACCGTGCAAACCAGATCTACACCCTGCTCATCTTCCTGAAACATCCAGTCGGTGTGACACTTGCATTTGAGCCATAAGCAGAGAGTTTTACCTGATACGGGGTGACCCCATTAACAATAAGTACCTGTCTGTTCCATCCCAAACTTCTTGGATTTAGCGACACAGCTTCCATTAAAGGTATTACAGGGACACTCAATCATTTGTCCAGAGGGAGTAAGGAATTGAAAAGCACCATGGGAGTAGAGATGGCCTCTGCGTGGATAATAAGACTCACATCAGATCCGGTTCAAAAGAGCAGATGTGACAAAGCCAGTCCCTCTTGACTACCAATTACCTCTGACGAAAATAGCAACCATGCTTCAGAGAGAAATGTGTGCATCGAGCTAGGTCTTCAGCCCCGGCCCTAGAGCACATCTCCCGAGCCCCAGTGCCCTTGGGCCTTATGCCCACGCCGCTCCTGCAGAGACTGTGAGTGCACAAGCTCAGCCAGTTCCTCTTCCCTGGATTAAAAAATCCAAGCAGATTTTTCCAACTCCATCTCTTTATGCAAGAAATACTCTTGCATTTTCTTTTCTTTTTACCAGTATAGAAATTGGATGAAACGGCATGCTTTGTGAACAACAGATAAGAATGTTAATGAAGGGATAGACTTTATAACCACACAGAAAGCAGCACTGAAGAAAAGTCTTATTTCATCTCAAGTGTGGTGTCAGTGACTTGGTCTGACAGAGATGAACTCTGTTTACTAAACACAGAAACCTGGAAAGTCTTCCCTGCAAAAACAGTTAAAACTACAAATTTAAGCAACAATTTCTTTCTAATTCTGGTATGATTGCTAATACTTGATTGGTATGGGCGAAAGCTAGTGTTTTGATTACAGATGCCAGCAAATGAAGTGTCACAAAAGCCTGGGTTCTTTCGGAGAAAGACAAAAATATAATGTTACAACGTGATCTGACTGTTGAGATGTAACTATGCTTTTTTTTTAATTATTGCTTACTGGGACAAGATGTTCAATCAAGAAAACATTGTAACTTTAAAAGCACAAACACAATAAAGGCAAAAAAACCCCAGCATAATCTGGATTTTAATGTTTCTTCCCTAATTATGGTATCACTTATTTTTTCAACAAAGTGACACTGAGTGTACTAAGCCTGCACTTTTTAATTGAGAATACCAAGGTTAATATGTCATGGTCTCTAATCCCAAAACATCATGCACTAGGGAGGATGAATAATACTTGGACAAAGGGTTACAAAGCCAGGCACAGGAATGAAACACACTGAGTGTTTTGAGTATCTTCCTTAGTCTAAGAAGAGTGTGTGTGTGTGTGTGTGTGTGTGTGTGTGTGTGTCTGTGTGTCTGTGTGTGTGTGTGTGTTGATTGGCTGCAGGAGAGGAGGTAATTACCCGGAAAGAGCACAGAGGAAATATAAAATATTTTTCATATGAACGGAACATGAAACTGGGCAGTGTGTAAGCGCTTCCAAGTAGTTTGTCAGGAGCTGATGCACAGAATTAAAGGACATTGCAGGAGTTAATGCTAGGAGCAGAGACAGCACCCAGACTGGGAAGACCCAGGCCCACCATGCTAAGAAAAGAAGACTCTGTCCTCTTAATCAGGAACCTAATTGGCTGACCAAGACCACAGTGAGGGCTGGTGCAGGCAGCGTGCAGAGGGACACCGGCAAGTTTGCTGTGCTCCTCTCTCTCTCTGTGCTCCTCTCTCTCTCAGAGCGATATGTTCACTTCATCAAGTAGCTATCCAGTGCTGTTTTTGCATCAAGCAATGTTCTCAGTACTGGGAACACAATATTGCAAGAGACAACTAAGGTCCCCAGCCTTGTAGAAAGATGATAGTGGGCAATTCACGAATTTTAAATAGGATTTCAAAACTTTCTGGCTGTTATATGGAGGATGGACACGAGCCAAGACAAGACGTGGAGATATCTTATGAGGCTCTTGAAGTAATGTGAGACTAGAAGGTCTAAAGATGGACAATGGTAATAATACTGGACAGAAAGAATGAATTATAGGACTAGTTAGAAAGTAAAGTCAATGTAATGTGGTTATTAGAGGTGAGATACAATAGAATTATGGAAAATGAGGAAAGGAAAAAGGGAGAAATTAATTCTAAATTTCTAGTGTGAGTTGGTGACTGGATGGTGGCCCCATAAACCAAGGAAAATAATAAATTAGAAGTAATCAGTCTTTTTACATGGCGAGATATCCAAGGAATGGAATAACACATTACATGTAAGATTACCTATATTACATATAGGATTAAAATAAGAATAGACATAACAGCTGTTGATCTATAGTGTGCCAGAAAAAGATGAAACATTTAATGATATTCCAATGGAATTTCAGAAACAGAACATTTCTATTTTCTCACAAAAATAAAAATGCTTCATCAAAATGGCACTACCAAAACTTCTGAAATTTTAAATTTGCTTTATCACCATGCCTTCATTTCTATATTGGTCATTGTTCAGAATAATGCTTGCATGAACTAACCATCAGGTAAGAAAACAATGCAACTGATGCGACAGCTTCCTCTGCCAATAACACAGGAGGGAAGGAATCCACAAATTAAGCTGACACATGGTGTCTAGAAAGAATTAATTCCCACTCCGTTCCGGGCAGACTTACAAGCTGGGCTTCATCCATAAAGACCGATGGGAATTCTGGGGTTTGGTGTGCATGGTGATATTTTCTGCCTCCATCGACAAGGAAAAATAAGAATATTCATCACTGGAAAGTGCCTTGCTGTTCTGTGTTGTAGTATTCACAGACACTTGGGAATTGTTCTCCATTTATAATTTATTCTTGACCTCCACTGGACAGTTGATACCTTCTGCCAGGAGCACATAGACATTTACTGAAATAATTTTATCAATGAACAAAAATATTTTGGATACATCAAATGAGAGTATGGTATATATGAATAGTCATTTTCCATCTTTGATCCATAATTAACCTTTCTTACACTGTGTCAGAAAGATTGAAGTTAAGGTTAACAATCTTTAAGAAAAAATATATTTTAAATGTCTTCTGCTAAAACCAGTACTACTTAATAGGCAGTTATTCAGCATAACTGGATTCATCGTACACACAGTCGTCTCCCAAATATTTCTAACACATATTGGCTGGAATTCAAATTAGCTTTAAGCAAAATGTAAAGTGGGCCAAATTTTATCTTTGGAATTTCTTGCATCCAATTTACTCTCATTCATTCAAAATCTCTTATTAAGTACCTGTTGCACAGTAGACACTCTTCTACGCACAAAGCTTCTCATCTCCTGGACATTACTGTAGTTTCCTTCCAATTCCTCCAGTTCCTAATTCATAATCTATGCCCTGGTTCTAGTTTTTCTAGAAATACAGAAGACCAATCTTTCTTATTTCTCTTTCACAATATAACCCGTTCGCTAATGAATGCTCCTCCGGGAGCTTCTGGAAAAGATACCTTATCTCAAAGACCTGATGGTAACACCAGGAACTTCAGCTGTGTGTTAGGTTGACATAGGAAATGGGAAAGGAAATGGGAATAATTTGGAGCCCTCAGATCTGATTGTGACACCTAGAAACTGCAGCTCTTGGATGAAATGGTGGCAGCAAACCTCAGCAGGAAGGTGGTGAGTTCTGAAGCCAGATGGACAGAAATTTAATTCCCAACTGCTGCCTCCACTCACAAGGAGATTGAGCTTCCTAAGACTCATTTCTTAGACTTCACCCGTTAATATTAGTAAAGGATTCAAGAATATGAATTCATTGACCAGCACAAAGTAAATGCTCCATAAACAGTATAATCTTTATGTTCTTAAGTTTAAAATTAAAGGATGCACCTATCATCTGTCCCATGTATTCAGTAGGTAGATCTGTAATTGTGGGTTTATAGAACTATTAAGAGCTACTGATTTTAAGATACGCTGTTTGAGGGATAAGAAAACTCTTTTACTTTTTAAAAAATAATTTCAGTAAATTTGGATATTCAGTGCGAAGAACTTTTTATTGTGCTGAACCATTGTAAGCTGCTGAACATTTATGGTCTCAGTCCTGCCCACTTTAACATGGATTTCAAAACTACAGAAATTCATGTTAAACAACCTAGAATTACTTAGTATAGTTTCAACCTTCAGATTCTCGGATCCTCATCTGCCTTCTCCAGTAACATCATTTATGGTAAAGTGCTTCAGTTAGGAATAACACGTGACCTTTATCAGTAACGTCTCCTGAGGATTTTTTTTTTCAAAATAAACCAGTCCTTCAGTATTGCTTGATTTTGACTCTCTGACTTATACTCCTTCTTCACTTTCATGACTTTGACTCTTTTGAAGAAAAGGTCTAGGTTTTTATGGAGTATTCCTCAATTTAATTGTCTGATATTTCCTCATGCTTAGCTGTGCACCTTTAGCAAAGCATGTCACAGAAGTGAGGCGTTGTTCTCACTGCAGCCTATTGGCTGGTGCACAATTTCTATTTCTCCCATTACTGAGAATATTCGCTTTGATCAAATAATTATGGTTATCTTTTGTACGTGTCTCCTTACACCCCTTTGTACTCTACCGTGCTCCTCGGTACGGCACGATTGTTTGAAACTGTGTGTATATCTTGCTCCTCATCAAAATTGTATTTATTTTCACATGTATGGGCTCATGCTTTCCAGCATTAGCCAAAGTGGTGCGCTCTGTTGCTATCACTCTTTACCTTATTTGTAAATTTCCCGATTTGGTCAGCGAAAGCCCATTCATGTGCACTTCTGAGTCAGTCTATTCAGCGTGTAGACCCACAAGAGTCCTGTGAAGAGGGATAAGTAAAACGTACAGAAGGACATAATAATCAGCAAGCAAAGACTTTGCAAAGGAAGAATGGATAAGATTCACACAAGTGAAAAATTTGCCCTCATATAGGTGTTCGATAAAAAGACACACTATCAAAGGTGAATTTTAAAACATCGAATGAGACATGGTCATGTTCATGGTCTGAGGAAAAGGATCCCAAGGGAAGTTATGATGCTACTTATCATCTGAGATACTTAGCTGTGAATAAGTTAGCAAGAAAAAGGAGTGGAATGGGGAAAAAACGAGTTATATTATATAGAGGTACAAATTCTCTATGATGAATGTGATTATTATGTGGATCTAAAATGTACCAATAAAATCTAATTGGAAGAAAAAATAAGATAATGAGAAATAGTAATGGGAATTTGAAAAATACCACTTTACTGAATGAGATATATTTTAACAAATCATAGAATATATAAAATATGTTTTATGTTTCCTGAAGAAAAAGAAGATCTGGACAAATCTGACTGCCTTTTCTCCCTGATGTGCTTGGTTTTCTGTTTGTGTCACCTGGAGCTAAATTAAAGAAGCTGAGAGTGAGCGGTGGGCATCTAACAGGCAGGCAACTTACCCACAGTGGTGAAGTCTTGCAGTGCTGAATGAGGGCAAAGAAGGCGGGAACCACCCAGGTAACAAACATCTGGGCCAAGGGGCAGTGTGGACCAGCAGAGACTCAGGCCGGGAATTCACCGTGCCACTGAGTCAGACACTTTTTCCATTTGCTTTCCTCAGTGGCACTGGTCAGCACTGCTGTAGGCATGCTTACGGGTAATAAGCAGGTGAACGGTACAGCGCTGGGCTTTTGCTTATGAGTGCAGCAGGAAAGTACTAGAAGTCACTTTTTAGCTAAGAGCTCTTTTACTGATCTATTAAACATTACTCCAGCTCTCTTGGACGCATCCACCTGCATTTCCTGCAAACCAAGCACTTCTGCTCATGAGTTAGCAGGAAGCTGGAACTATGCCTTTCCACTTTCTGTTCTAGATTCCTTCAATCCACTCAACCACTAAACCCTGCAGGTCCCACCTGCTTAATATTAAATCTGACTCCATTACTTCTACCTCTTGGTCAAACTCTCATAAGATTTTGTTTGAAATGTGATAACCACTCTAGACTAATCATCTTGTCCTCTTGCATACTCTAAACCATTCTCCACACTGCCAAGAGAATCGATAAATGCAGCTATATCATGTCCCTTCTTGGTGTAAATCCTGAAGTAGTTCCACCAGTGGTGTAGTTTAAGCTCCTCAGTACAGCCTGCAAAGTTCTAACTACCTGGCCCTTGACTATTTCTTTTGTCTTCTCTCTCAATTCCACCATTTAGACATCTAAACTGAAGTCACAGTGAGTTTCTTGCTATTCTTTGTATATGAAGTGGACTGTCTTTGTTCTATGGCTTACTGCCATCTCTGCCTGAAATAACCTTTGTCTACTTTTACTATTTTTTCCTTTTTGTGCTTCAGATTTTTCCTACTTGTGCTTCAACATGGCAGGCACCGTGTACCACAAGAGACCTTTGCACCTAGGTTCACATGGCACAAGTCATATCATATTTAAGTGTTGTTTTTTTGTTTTTTTGGTTTTTTTTTTTGGTTTTTCTCCGGTACCGGGAACCGAACTCATGACCTTGTGCTTGCCAGGCAGGCGCTTTTGCCGCTGAGCTAAATCCCCAGCCCCATATCATATTTAAGTGTTGTCACTTTGTGAACCACACCCATCTCTGTTACCATAAATTGTATATACTCATCTGTCTGACTAAAAGACTGTAGTTGCAGGTGTTTTGTATTTCTTGGAGCAGCTACAACAATTACCACAGACTTGATGGCTTCACAGAATGGAAATCTCTTCTCTCAGAGTTCTGGAGGCCTGAAATTGAAAATGAAGGTGCTAACAAGGTTGATTCTTTCTGGGGGCTCTGAGGGAGAATTGGGTCCGTGCTTCTGTACTAGATTTTGGTGACTACCAGAAACCCTTGGCCTGGGGTTGCATATCTCCAACCTCAGCCTACACCTTCCATAGATGTCTTCTTTATGTCCATGTCTGAATTCTCCCTCTTGTTTTTGTATACAGATATTACTGACCATTGGATTTGAAGATTACACTAAATCCAAGATGATCTCATCTGGAGACCCTTAATAAAATAACATGTTCAAAGACCTTGAACATTCACAGGTACCAGATACTAGGGTTATAGTATAGCGTCATCTATTGCATCATTACCTATTGTATTTCCATATTTTTCCAAAGTCCATCAGAGCACATATTACCTATTGGACACTCAATAAATGCTTGATGACTGCAGTATTTAAAAGGTTGTTGTGGTAACAGCTGTAAAAACAAGAGCACCTTAGAAAGTTAGGAGTTTGTAATAAAAGAGTCAAACAGTGGTATGGGAGATATAGTTTGAACTGTTCCAGGCAATGACAAGACTGAAGATACAGCTGTGAAAATGAACAGCTAAAATGCATAAATGTGAACATTATAACAAAACAGATTTTAAAAGCACTCTGAAGTCAGTGTATTTATGGAGAACTCAAGCCTATACCAATAACCAAAGCCCTTGTAGAGGATGAAGCTTGGGCTCAAATTATTAGATCAGTGTGAGAAATTACTGGTGTCTGAGGTAGGAAGACATAAAAGTGCATAACAAGATAGTTAGGACTCCAGAGGAAGAGGAGTTGTTGCATAAAATAAATAGCCCAGTGGTTAAGAAGTGACTGAATACTGAGGATACTGCTACTTACTCTCTAGCCACCCACTTTGGAAAGACTCAACCCTACGCGGTGATGGTAAGTTGTCTTTGATCCAAAAAATAGAGGTCGTGGACACTACCTACCTCTTTTGCCTGTGCCTGATTTCTGATTTCTGTGATGTCCTTCCTAGCAGTGCTATAAAGTATATAAGATAGAAACTGATATGTGTGATCTTTACTTAAAAGTATCTCTTACTAGAATCCTTAAAAGAAGCAATAAATCAGCAATACACAGTGGACATTACTTTATTCAAGTGTGCAAGCTCATGTTGATCTTCCTATGTATAAATCATATTCTTACCTCTCTCTGACCTCTTTCTTGCCTATAGCACAAGTCTCACAAATTCTTCTACAAACGTTGCCCAAAGTGGAGCTAATCACTTGTGGCTGACTGTCATTTACTGCTTCATTTGTATGCATTTTGTCTCATCAAACACCATTGACACAAAATGGGAATGTGGAGCCCAGAGAAAATGAAAATAAAGTTCTAGAAGTAATACTTTTTACAGAGACAGATAAATCTCCCTACTTGCAAATCCATGGCGTTATTGGCTAGCTTAACCATCGTGAGAAAAGCCTGCAAACCATCCCACTGTCTTGCTTGCTCTTGATCCTCATTTCATGTTTCTCCATCCTCAAGGATACCTATCAACATTTATCCAAATCTATAATTTAACTCTTGTTTTAACCTACTTAATCTCTACATTTTACCTTCTTCGTATATATTTTTTCTCTGTTCAGAATTTCCTATTCAATGGTTTGCTACCTGTGCTTCATTTACTAATCTGTCTTTACTGTATTACAAACTCTATGCATCAGAGCATATTATACATCGTGGTAGACAAGTGGTCCTGATGGTTTTAACTAATAGTCATCCTGAATGCATAACAGTTATCTTGAAATTTATGGTTTACCAATTATAACCCAAGGTTTGGCCATGTGACTTGCTTCAGCCAATGAGATGCTAGCAAATAAAACAGGAGCAGGAGAGGATTTCTTTTACAAATACGTATGTATTTCTATTAGCATTCCTCTTACTTTTACATTTACTTTTTAATTCTGAATAGTAAAACCCAGGGCGCTGTGCATACTGAACACGTGCTCTTCCACAGGGCCACACCCTCAGCCCTTCTGCTTGCATTTTTAACAATTACACTTGCTCACTCTTGCACCTGTTTATTCAAAGGAACATGTGAAGGCAAACTGAGGTTCTTCTACATTAGTCATCAGCCACCAATCCCCAAATACGTAAGGGAGCTCACCCAAAATAAATGGAATTGCCTTTCCAACTCAAGGCTTTTGTCAATAATAGAAAGCAATGATAAAAACTTCCCAATGACTTATAGCCTTATAAATAATAATAATAATCAGATTATTTCCTCAAGCCACCAAGCTTTGGGGTCATATGCTGTGTAGAATTATAGTGGCTTATTGAATTATACTTTCTAATAATTATAAGTGTTTTGCAATGTTTAGTTTTCCATGTGCATTGTTTCATTCAAAGATGGGTGAATAAACTAGGATCAGCTTTCAGGGCAAGGTAGATCTATATGATTTAGGTCACCATAATAGGGTCCCGCTGCTGATTAAATACATGACGATAAATTGCAATCCATTGCTTTTCTAGAAAAATTAGTTTTTCTCAGACATGGACAATATATTTTCTATATAGATAATACCTAGGAGAGCTCCCTCTTTATTCACAATACCGTAAGAACTCAGTAGATGAATGAATGAATAAAATAACAAATTATGGTCAGTTATTTTAAAAGTTGAATGCAATACTTCTTTAATGAATCAAAGGAGCTAGTATTCAACTTCTTTAAACAGAAAGGTAGTATAGTTGCTCTCTGCAATAACGTTAAAGACTAGAAAAACAATCCAAAAGATCTACAAGAGAAAAAATATGTAAGAATAAAGGAGAGGTGGGCAATACTGATGAATGGGGCACTTTTGTATTACAAATGTCACAGTAAAATAAAGAAAAAGGGGGTATATTTTATTTTCTGAAGGTAGTATCTTGCCCCGCACTTCTCAGGCAATGTGTAAGTGAGTAAATGACAAATAAGGAGCTGGGGATGCAGCTCAGTGGCACAAGTGCCTGCCTAGCAAGTGCAAGGCCCTGAGTGTGATTCCTGGCACCAAAAAAATTTTTTAAAAAAAAGAGGGACCAAAGTGAGTCA